TGGCTGCGATGCGGATGCGAGCTTGACGGCGGCTGTGATGCGAGTGCGGGAGGCTCAGGCGATTGGCGGCGGAGGTTGTCGATGCGAAGGCGAGGAGGCAAAGTGCAAAACCCTGGGGGCGAACCCGTCGGTTTTATAGGGGCGATGGATGCGAGAAGAGCAACCGCCCGCCTAGGTCTCCGAGCCTTCCACGATACACCACCGCATCATGTCACGGGATATGCGCCCGCCATCCCTATCCTTTCCGACCAAAATCGCGCTGGACGTTTCACCTTCCCCAGGCAGACCAGGATTCTTTTCCCACAGAGGGGATACGGGTCAAAAAGCTTTTCTCCAGCCCGCCTAGGCCCAGGAGTTCAAGGGTCGGCCCAACAGTCTCGACGGCTGTCCCAACGAGGGATGGGCCCATGAGCGGCTAGAACTCAGGCACACAAGCCTCAAGGAAACCTCAATGCGCAATCAAGTCCTAACCGGGCTAACCCTGGACGAATCCCCATGAACGGGATACCAGGGTTTCCTTTAAACCGTCCAGTTGGCAAAAACCAAATCTCACAGCCATACCCATGAAGGGTCCAAAATTACCCCCCGGGTGATTCTATCCGAATCACCCAGGGGCTCGGGGCCTACACCCGACGGGTGCGCTCGCGCGCACCCTCTGGAGAATCAAAATACCCCCGAGCGATTCTGCCCGAATCACCCGGGGGCTCGGGGACTACACCCATCGGGTGCGCTCACGCGCACCCTCTGGCAAGTCAAAATACCCCCCGGGTGATTCTATCTGAATCACCCGAGGGCTCGGGGGCTACTGTCGGGGACCTAATACCGGGGTACCCAATGAGGTGGAATTAATAACCATCAAACGTTGACGCTTCCAGTCAGACAAGAACGCTACTACACTTCTTGCCCGAACGACGGAAGATTGGTTCCGCCTCGCCCAACCCCCAAGGGCTAAGACTCCACCTCGCCCGATGGCTGAGGGCTAGCTCCGCCTCGCCCAACGTCCGAGGGCAAGCTCTGCCTCGTCCGACGGCTGAGGGCAGGCCCCACCTCGCCCAACATCTGAGGGCAGGCTCCTCCTCGCCCGACGTGTGAGGGCAGGCTCCGCCTCGCCCGACAGCTGAGGGCTATCTCCACCTCGCCTGATGTCTGAGGGCAGGCTCCGCCTCGCCCGACGACTGCACCCTGCTCCCTCATAAAGACGAGCACAGGGCACGACAGGACATTCGAGTCAACCGCAGTACCGAGGGCCATGCCCTGCATGCCTGTAGGAAGGTACTGTTAGGATACGATGGGACGGGCGCTTTAGGCCCTTTCCAGCCTGATAGAGCCCGAACAGTGTTGTAGGTGCCAACTTTTGTCCCACTGTGTTGTAGGCGCCCCATCAGCCCTCGGACGCGGATACTAACACAAGCATACGACAACAACTATGATCCAAGACGGAACTCACATCACCTACAGTGATGGACGTATGGTCACTTCCCCGTCTACTCCCCAAAGGGTCATAGCTCATCTCTCTAGCACGCCGCACCATCCACCGGTGTAGGATGGGACGCACCCACTTGCTGAAAGAGGCCAGGGCACGACCCTGCAAGGATCAACGAACACGCCATCCCTGACACGGTCTGCCATGTTAGCGGGGCAGGCACAGGAGAAAAGGAAGACCCGGCTCCCTCGACGGACCTTCTCTACCTTTGGTTTTTTCTCTTTCTCCCATCTGTAACCCCAGCTTGCCCCTTGGTCTATAAAAGGGGGGGGCAGGGCACCCCACTAAGGGGACCGATCGTTTTGATACGCAAGACGACGAATCAATTCCACACACAACACACAACCAAGCAGCAACCGAGCTCTTGGCGTCCTTTCGGCCTTTCCATAAGAGACTTAGGACCTGTCCCTCTCTCGATCATTTGTACCCCCTACTATGAACCTTTTTTGGTACTAATAACAAGAGCAGCAGCAAACTGGACGTAGGGACATTCTGCCCAAACCAATATAAACCTTGTGTCCTTTAGTACACCATCCGAGCCTAACGCGCAACAATTATAAATTTACTAGTTGATGTTTGTTCAAAACACCGATAGACCCCAAGGCCATGGGCTCCATCTAACCCGACCCCTTGGGTTCATGCTTCGTCTTGCCCAAACCCTTGGGTGCGGACTCCGTCTCACCCAACCCCTTGGGTTCAAGCTCCGTCTTGCCCGAATCCTTGGGTGCGGATTCCGTCTTGCCCAACCCCTTGGGTTCGTGCTCCGTCTCGCCCAACCCCTCGGGTGCGTGCTCCGTCTTGCCCAACCCCAAGGACGCGGGTTCCGTCTCATCCGGCGGGGACCCAAACCGCCACCAACCACTCTAGGTCCAAGCGTATGGGCTTGGGTCAAAACTCTAACACCTGGGAAGAGACTGACATGCCTCGATGTAACCCGTGGCCATGACGGGCCATACCTGAGGATTCACATCAAGAACAGCGTCGGGCGTGCCGGTGCTATTCTGCCTAACCCTCGTACGAACGCTGACAGGTGCATCAGTTCACTACGACGTCCGCTGGGACGGAATGGAACACCATGACAGGCAGATGACGCCTGCGCATGGCGCCAGTGATGAATAGAGCCACAACGTGGAGCCGTCCCTATTGACATCTATAGGATCGGCGGGACCCATATAAAGGAGAAGGACCCGGCGATCCCAGAAGCCTTCTTCTCTCTCGTTCTTCTCCTTTTTCCTCCGCTGTAACCTGCGATTTCCCTTCACCTATAAAAGGGGAAGCAGGGCGCCCCAATCCGCACGAGACTGAACCACAAGATAGAAACACAAGAGCACGACACGAGCACACAGCTGAGCGGCAGTCGAGCTCTCAGCACCCGTTCACTCCTTCCATCAGAGACTTAGGATCATCTTCCTCTCTCACCTGTTTGTAACCCCTACTACAAACCAAGTGTCGGTAACATGAGCAGCAGGGAACTAGACATAAGGATGTTCCGCACGAACCAGTATAAACCCTTGTGTCCTCCGAGCACACCATCCGAGCCAGACGCGCAAATACAAATTTACTCATCGGTGGTCCAAAAACACCGACACATAATCATAATTTACTGAATAAATATAACTGCTCTTGAAATTAAATTCTTCCGTTGGTTCGAATTTAATTAGAAGATAATAAACATTAAACTTTGCAGCGGAAACATGGAAAAATTATTTCTCTACTTTTCAAAAGCATTTTACTTTACTCATCTATTCTCTAAAAAATTATCCCGTTGGTTCAAATTTTGACAGAGATTTAAACTAAACAAAAATCATAAAAAAAATTTGCTTTTGAAAATGTAAAACCAAAGCTTTGCTACAGTTCTGCGCTATCAACGAAAATTGGCCCAACGACCCATCCGCCAGCCCGCCCGTGCGCGCGCGGCCCAGCATCGCAAAGACGGCCCATGGCCCAGCATCGCAAAGATGGCCCGCGGCGGCCGCTCGCACTGCGCTCCCCCGCATCCCAGGCCGCAACCTAGGTCTGGGCTAGGATTCTTCCAACACACCTGGGTCGAATGTAGCCCGTGCATTCACAGCCGTTCATCGCTATCGACGGCTATCCTCCCAGATCAGAAGAACAAAAACGGGTGCCGTCCGCTGCTCCCGCGAACCCTAGAGCTCATTCTCTTCTCCTACCTCTCTCTTTTCACCGCGCTGCTCTCTCTCTCCCTTCTCTCTGAAAACCATGACGGTCGGAGACGACGGCGCCGCCGCCGATCCCCTCGCCGGTGCGCGCACCCACCATAGGGTGAGCGTGTCGTCGCCAAGTGGTCCAGCGACAGCGCCCTAAGCACGTGTGCGCGGCTCGGTGGAGGCTCGGGTGATCTTCCCGCGCTATGGCGGTGGGAATCTAGGGTTAGGGTTTTGGGAAAATTGGGAAACTGTCAACTCCTTCTATATTTCTATTCACTTTTCTACCCCAGATTCGATCTACACACTCCAAGAAACCTTGGCTCTGATACAATTGATAGGATTTGTAGGACCTATAGGTGCAGATCTAGCGGGTAATGACTTAACTTAGATAGGGAACTTGATGATGTACCTCGCCCAGCAAAGTCGCGGCCATGGCGCGGGCGAGGAAGTAGCAGTAGCTTGACGCTCCCGCTAGGGTCTCGAAGAAGGCAGGAATGCAGGCGCGGTCTGGAGGCAGCGGTGAAGGCAGTGGAGCTTCCCGTCGCTCACAGCGCACCCTCACGATCAGACTAGGGTTAGGACATGGTGGGGCGCTGGCGGCTGCGGTGAACCTCGTACCTTGCGCCCTGGCCCCCACCTTCCTCTTTATAGCACTGCACGACGGGGGCCCATCAGCCAGGAGTACGGCTGGACGTCCCCGATCAGGACACGGATCAAGAGTCCAATTGATCGTTGGGCTAACTAGTGGAGATCAATCTAACATGCTAGCATTCGTAACGACCATCGCACATCGCCGTTGAACTCAAGTACATTATGTTATCATCAACAGGTACGGTAGCTTGGGTGAGTTGACCCTTTTTGGCAATATATTATACACTGCAGCATACGTTTTTGTTAAGATAAGAAACGAAGGCCGCCGCCTATGTTTGTTGTACGCTAGTACCTTTCGTTCCAAATTATAAGATATTTTAGCTTTTCTAAATACGTTGTATTTACTATGCATATAGATATACACTATGTCTAAATACATAGTAAAAGTAATGTACCTAGAAAAGCCAAAACGTCTTATAATTTTGGACGGATTTAGTACTTGCTAAGGAACATACATGTCGCAACCACCTGAAGATGCTGACCATGTACCGAGAGTTGACTACTTTGGTCTAGCAATGATACAAGAGGTTAGAGCTACATAAATCATATGCACTCTCTCCGCGTTCTCGATATAAACTTGCATGAGCACATAGACATTTGTCACCACCAGTAGTACACAGCCAGGCGTAGTCTTACTGTACCGTCTCCCAACTCCCATACCGATCTCAGAGAGGAAGCGAAGCACATTGGATCATCAAATGGACATCGGCGTGATCGTCTTGTCCCTCGTGGTGGGGTTGTTTGGGCTCGCGAGCGCCGTGCTGGGGTTCATCGCCGAGCGAACAAAGCCCACTGTAAGCACAAGCAATAAGACACAACTATTTTTGACATTTAATTTGTGCTCTTATATTACCGTTTGCAAGTCATCAGTCTGTTTGGTTGGCTGGTTCGTATCGTTGCTGGTTCGTGAAGAAGAACGGCTGACTGGTTTGTATGAGAAAAAAATACTATTTCGACTGAAAATTTACGATCGTTTACGATGAGCCACGATCAAACGAACAGGCGCCTCTAGTGATGGACACGACGTACGTACTAATTTCTTGCAGGGACATGACATCGACATCGACGTCTACACCGGGGAGTGCGACTACCCGGCCAACCCGGCTTACCTGCTGGCGCCAATCGCGATCCCTCTGCTGGCGGTGGCTATGATCATCGCCTCGCTCGCCGGCGGCTGCTGTGGCTGCTGCAGGCCACGGCACGGCGCGTCCGAGTCCAAGCGGGTCATCGGCATCGTGTACGCCGTCCTCTCATGGATAGCGGCGCTGATTGCTGGGGCGATCTACGCGAACGGCGTGGCGTGGAACCTCCCCGTGACGAGGTACGACGCCTGGTGCAGGCTCCTCAGGGACGGGTACTTGAGGACGGCGGCCCTGCTGAGCCTCGCTGCCACCGCTCTGGCGATCACATCATACAGCATGCTCCGCGTGCAAGGCGCCGGCGCCGGCGGCCGCAGCAGCAGGGGCCTCCAGACCCAAGCCTGATGGCTCGTACCCGCCGGCTGCGGAAGCCATCGCGGTTGCGGTGGAGACGCAGTGGTCAGCTCCTCAGAGGCACGGGCAATGGCAAGAGCCACTCCCGGAGGTCCCTCGGCACCCTGTTGGAGGATACAATTACAATCGGACACCATACCAGGAGATGGCTTCCCATCCTCGGCGTCAAGCACAGCCAGCAGTTGAAGTGTGATGATGGCGTGAGAAGACACGCGACGGTGTTCATACCCCTTACGTGTATATGGAATGTGTGCGCCCTGAGTTGATTCCGTGTGTGTTACGTGTACTAATATTGTCAATATTATTGAGAAATGCTACAACACTTGGTTGCTTTGGAGGCTACGGAAACACGAATTTGTGGCCCCTCTGCATCTAGCAGGCATTCGCTATGTCCCGTTTGATTTTTCTCCTTTGCTGTTGTCTATTTTGTGTCTGACACGCATGGCCCATTTCTAGTCTAGACACATATCTGCACGAAGGAGCTCGGAGGTAGGTTGCCGGGGGCTAGCCAAGGATAGGCCTGGGCAAAAAATAGCTGAGAACCGAAAACTAAACAAAAAACAGGAGCCGGAACCTGTTCGGTTCCACTTCTCAAGAACCGAATTCTGCTTGGCTAGTTCGGTTCCGAGGCTCGGTTAACCAAAGTAACTGTAACTATAGGACACCCAGTAAACAGCCCACCACACTAGGTATATATATTGTTCAATTGTTCTCATAAAACCCTAGAACCAATCGCACCTCTCCCCTTCCCTCTCCTAGCCGCCAGATGAGTCAGAGCCCAGCTCGGCGGCTCCCACCCCCTCCCTTAGCATAGTTGGCCGCGGCTCGCCAGCCCCTCTCTTCAGCCAACGCCACCAAGCAGGAGGAGCGCAGTGGCGGCAAACGGCCCCCCTAGCGCGCGCGACCATGGTGCCCCCTCTTCGACCGGTGGCACCAAACAGGAGGGCGCGACAACGGCCCTATTAGAATCCCGCGCACAGCCACGGCACGTCATGTTCACTGGCGAATCCAAGAGGAGGGCGGCGACGGCGATCTCCCCATCAGGAGAGCACGATGGAGACACCGATGGCCGGCAACCCCAGCGCGCGCATGTTGGCAGTGACGGCTCCCCACGCGCGCTCTAACCCTCACCTCCTTCCCCAGCTGTCTGGCGCAGGGACCAACCGGAGCAACGCCCATGGACAAGGCTTTTTATTTTATTTTATTTTTTTTGTTTGGCGAACGTGTTGAAAGCATCTAGGCTCCTAGTTGGGTTTCGGTGATTAATGACAATACAGATTACTGTGACTAACGTGTGTTTTGCAGAGGCAATCAAGTTAGGTCACGGTAATGGAGATCGATTGGGCAATCAAGGTGGTCATGCCCCTACGATGGAAATCGTTTCAGTTTTCAAAGGATGGACGACAACGTTAAAGATGACTAGTTCTAAGTGTCGATTGGAGTTGGAGAGACACTTAGAGTAGTTTAGAACTTTGTTTTTTCCTTTGGCCGTACTATTAAGGGGGGTATGGACGGGTAGCTTGACCTAGGTGAGTCTAGCGAGTTAGGTGTGGTGCACACTTATTAAAACTAGCACTAGGTAGCTCCAAAATAGCCCTTAGATCCAATGGAGCAAACTTCATTCACATATGATCGAGAGTTGGAAGTGAATGGAGGGTCAAATACTGACCGGACGCTGGCTCAGGGTCCGGTCAGTTCATTTGACCAAGGGGATTGCGTCTGGTTTGACCGGACGCTGAGAGGTCAAGTCCGGTCGACTCCAGTAAGGTTCCAGAGAGGGAAAATTACGACTGGACGCGTCCGGTAAGTGCTGATCGAACGCTGCCCAGCGTCCGATCACACTGTAAGCACTGGAGTTCAGGGTGTACTGACCGGAGCGTCCGGTCACCCCGCAGAGGCACATAACGGTTCATTTTTCAGCCGGTGTTATAAATACAACCTCCACTCGTGTGTGGGGGTACTTTTGCTCATTTCAACAGCTGAGAAACACCTTAGAGAGTGCCAAGAAGAGCAAGGTCCTAGTGAGGTGTTTGAGATTTGAGAATCCCAAAAAGAGCCCTCATTAGTGAGATCAAGAGTAGCAAAGTGTGCATCCACCCTTCTCATTAGGCTTGTCGTGGTCAAGTGAGAGTTCGTGCTTGTTACTCTTGGTGATCGCCATCACCTAGATGGCTTGGTGGTGATTGGGAGCTTGGTGATCATCCGGAGAGCTTGTGGATGACCCAACTCAAGTTGTGAGCGGTTGTGGGTAATTCACCGCGACAGAGTGTCGAAGAATCAATCCGTAGAGAGCACTTGATCCTTGCGCGGATCAAGGGGGAGCTACACCCTTGCGTGGGTGCTCCAACGAGGACTAGTGGGGAGTGGCGACTCTCCGATACCTCGGCAAAACATCGCCGCGTTCCTCCTTCTCTATTTACTTTGAGCATTTATTTTGAGTATTTACTTTGAGTATCTACTTTGAGCAATTCAATTCTTGTCTTTACATTCGTAGAATTGCCATGCGTACTTATTGGAAAATTCGTATGGAGGTGTACTTAGAAGCTCTAGATGTTGGAATACTAAGAGTCGCCTCACAAGGCTTCCCAAAACCTAAGGATCCCACACACCCACAAGGCGATGAGGTGAACTATAAAAAATAGAATGCAAAGGCTCACAACACCATCTTTAGAGGCATTTACAAAGATGTGTTCAATCGGGTGAGGAACCACAAAAACGCCCATGCACTATGGTCGGATGTTTGTGCGCTCTATGAGGGAACAAAGAGTGAGCGTGAGGAACGCTATCATCTTGTCATGAAAAAGCTCAACTCTTTTGAAATGCTTCCTAAGGAATGTGCTAATGAGATGTATTCACGTTTGAATGTTCTTGTAGAGGAAGTTAATGGGCTTCGACTCACTCAAATGCAACCATCCGATGTTGTAAGAAAGATCTTAAGTGTCCTCCCCATTGACAAATATGGGCATATTGTGACCGTGCTAGGTGATCTTTCCACCGCTACACCGACACAAATCTTGGGAAAGATCAATGCTCATGAGATGTACATACACATCACACCTCAAGATGGCTCATCCTCTACAAAGAAGAAAGAAAAAGACTTAGCATTCAAAGCTAGCCAAGAGAAGGACAAAGCAAGGCTTAAGTATGAGAGCTCAAGTGATGATGAAGTTAATGATGAAAGCCTTGCTCTCATGGTGAAGAAACCCACCAAGATGCTAAAGAAGCTCAACAAGAGTGGCATCAAGTTTGATGGCAAGAAGAAGAAGTTCTTCACAAGCTCTAGAAGGAAGCCAATCTCCGAGATGGATTGCTACAATTGTGGCGAACTTGGTCATCTAGCTCACCAATGCACAAAGCCCAAGAAAGACAAGTTCAAGAACAAGAACAAGGGCAAAAAAGATGACTCAAGCAATGAAGATGAAGATGAGAAGAAAAAGAACAAGCCATACAAGAAGAGAGATGGCAAGAAGAAGGAATTCTACAAGAAGAAGAAGAGTGGAAAGGCTTACATCATCGGTGATTGGCTTACGGACATTGATTCATCTAGTGGATCATCCAATGATGATAGTAATGACGAGAAGGTGGCCGCTATTGTGATTGATTCTTCATCATCTTCACTGCCACCACCGCCATCATCCTCTACACACCTATGCCTTATGGCCAAAGGTGAACGAAAGGTATCACATGATGATGATAGTAGTTGTGATGATCATGCTCATAATAATGATAGTGATAGTGATAGCGATGATGATGAATATGAATCACCTTCTTATGATGATCTTGCTAAATTGCTAAAGAAATACACTAAGATCATTATAAAGACTAGATCTAAAAATGAAAAGCTTGAGATTAAGAATGATTCTCTCTTAGCTAAATGTGACATAGCCGAAAAGTCTAGTGTTGAGCTTAGAGAAGCAAATGAAGCTATGTCATCCAAACTCAAGGAGCTCAAATCTTCTAAGAAAGAGCTTAAAGATAAACATAATAAACTTGAGTGGGTGCACAAAGAGCTCATCACTAGTCACAACAAGTTAAAAGAAGAATATACCACTCTTAAGATTAATCATGATAGTCTTGTCATTGCTCAAGAATTTCTATCCAATGAGCCACATGATGCTACTAACCATGTTGTTAAGATTGATATAGCTACATCATGTGATGACTTGATCATTGAGAGCATTGAGCAAGGTTCTAGTAGCAAGGTCAAGCAAGTGGTTGAGGCCGATGATTATGATGAGTTTGTCAAGCTCAAGAATGACAATGGCAAAGCTCAAGAAAGATCTTGAAGAAATCAAAAGCCACAACACCATTGTGCTAGAAACTCTTGATCATGATGGTGACTTGATCCTTGAGAATGAGAAGCTCAAAGAAGAAAACAAGAAGCTCAAGGAAGAGAAGAACAATGATGCTCTTAAGGAAGAGAACACGAAGCTCAAATTAGAAAAAGAGCATCTCAAGATTGGATTGAGCAAGTTCACTAAAGGCAAGTAACTTCAAAGTGAGCTTCTAATGAACACCGTCATGAAGATGGATAGAAGTGGCATTGGGTACATGACAAATCAAGAGAAGAAGAAGGCTCAAGCTCAACAACAACAATCAAAGCCAAAGCCAAAGAGATGCTTTGAGTGTGGACAAGAAGGCCACTTTGCTCATGAGTGCCAAACTCCACCACCACAACCCTTGCCCAAGCATGCTAGACCCATTGCCTTCAATGCTCACTACATGCTTAGAAAGGATTCTAGTGGAAAGATGAAGTGATGTTCTTAGGATCTCCCAATAAGAATAGGCCTAATAAAATTTGGGTTGCAAAGTCACTTGTTGAGAAGGTGAAGGGCCCTCAACAAGTTTGGGTTCCTAAAGCTTGATCTCTTGTGTGTAGGTGAACTACAAGACCGGTGGAAGTCATTGGGTTATTGATAGTGGTTGCACACAACATATGATTGGTGATCCTCGTATGTTCACCTCACTAGACGAAGAAGTAAATGGACAAG